TTCTCTCATTGAATCTTCTTATCTTCCAATTTGCTAGTTCCACCTCTTCTCATTTTAGTATTGATTTCTAGGTGTAGACAATCAAATTTATGATCATTAAATAGAAATAAATTGTCATATTAGTTATTGTGTCACAAAAAAATTGTCATATTAGTTGAAGACCAGTGATCAAATCTTTAACCAAGATTGTGATCGAGATTGTGATCAAAGTCTTGACCCAAATTTTGACTTAGACTATCTGTAAATCAAATCCATCTCTATATTTTTATCTCAATATTTTCTTCTAAATATTTTTTTCTATTCTTATAAAAGTGGATTTACTCTAATATATGTCTTTGTTATTCTATTTATAGAAGAAAATATAGAGATTTGATAATCATTAAATATAAAGACAAAATAATATGTTTTCTATATTTATCTTAAAAGTAGAAGCATTTCATTATAGATTGATTGTACATACATTAAAGATGCTCTTAGACTTTGACCAGACAAATAGATTAGATCTTCATTGATTTTAAAGTTTAACCAAGACAAATAAATTAGATATTCTTGTGTTAGCTTTTATGGACCTTATTATTGGCTTGATTTTAGAGGGTAAAATTCACTTTCAACAACTACGTATTTCAAACATATCCAAAAACTATTATAATAGTATTATATAATTATAGGTTGATGAGCAAATCACATTATATCGATCATCACTCTTCAACTTTCCAACTTTTCAGTGATAATGGCTCAACTCTATGTAAGAAGCATGTTGATATAAAATTAATTATGCATATTGAACGAAGAAGCTAAGACTTATATAATGAATTATTAAAGCCTTTTCATTTCACTTCGTTGTTTGCAGGAGCAGGAAGCTAAATTTAAGATTGGATCTACTGACGAAAAGACAAGACTGAACATAGCATCTATCCTTCGTTGCGAAGGTACACCAACACAATTGAATGGTTATTAGATGTTTTCTAACATTACGTGCAGCACTAAAAATTTGAAATTTTAAAATTTTTAATTTTGGTAATATTTTAATATTTATTATTTTCTACTAATATTTTAATAGAAATTTTAATTTAATTAAACATAAAATCACAATAAAATAAAAAATAATTATTTAAATTATATTTAGTTAATTATATATATATATATAGATATATATATATATTTAAAATTATAATCTTTGATAGATTTTCATTTATTTATTTTGGTTAAGATATATTAGATTAATTTATATCATCTTTTTAATGATATAGTTTTTTATAGTTAGCAAAAAATAAAATAAATATAATTTTTAAAATGTGTATATATCAAAAGAATATATTGTGTTAAGATTCATGATTTATACCTTTAAAAAAATTATATAAAATTTTGAAAATTTTGCTTAGCAAGCAAAATTAGATATTATTATAATAGACTTATAAAATATTTTGAAAATTTGAAAATATTTCTATTTATTATTATTATAATATTTAAATATATTTATTTTAATGATGATTATGAGTTATTTTATATTCTACAAATAGAAATCATCATTAAATGTTATTGCCACATCATATTTAGCCCATATACCATATCATCAATTTTAGTATATATGCCACCTAGGTTAGTGAAATTAACTGTAAAGATACATATGTAAAATCATTTATCGAATACTCCCTTTCTATACAAATGCATTGGTTGCCAGAGTGGTCAAACTTTATTGATAAGACCAAAAAATAATAACTAAAAAAGATAATTTATTGATTCTTAATATATGTGCAAAACCTTAAATATTATAAAAACCTAAGAGAATAATATCTAACGGGTACTACAGAAAAATAAATCATTCATTTTTCAAAAAAAAATAAAATAAATTTTTCGTCTGAGTTATATGAGTCTTTATTCAGAGAAATCTGACATGATTTTCATAAGTATATCATTTGTTTCATCGAACATTATTTGTACATGAATGCAACAATAAGCAACACGTAAATACTATTGTAGAGTCTTAGTAAATTAGGTTTTAACGTAAAAAATATGGAAATTTTGTTTAAATCGTATGAGTAAAAATATATATAAATTTGTATACAGTTTGTTTACGTGAGTAAAAGTCATTACCGTTTTCATAGCTCTCACTATCTTATTAATTACCATGAAATGCAAATACTATAGCCTATCAATTCAAACAACTGTTAGGAATGTTTTTTTTTTTTTTTTGCTAATTAACTGTTACGAATGTTTCTTTGTCTTTTTAGGAGTTCATAGTTTACAATATGAAGAGGGAACACTAATTGTGAAGGGAGAAGGATTCAATGAAGGTGAAATTAAGAAGATATTGGACAAGATTTTTAAGAAACCATGGGGATGGCTATCGTGTTTTTGTCGCTGATATTAATGTGCTGTTTATCTTGTTAAACTGCTTGAAACTTGGTTCAACTAGTAAGATTTTTTTCAATGTTTATTTTTATATTGATCGAGTCATATCAATAATTAATGGGCCTGGAACAATGTGGTTGAGTGATAAGGAAAACGAGCTGAGATTAGTGTAGGTCTTTTTGAATATCCATATTTTACCGAAGTAAAGTAAATCAAAAAATTAGATATCCATGACATATGAAGCAAATCAAAAATACCTTTGAAAATTTGGATATCTGATCCGTGCCCACACCTAACTATAACTACACAAAAACACCAAATTAGCTAACTAACCAAATTCCTCTTCTCTCTCTCATCCTCTTCCTATCTCTCTCCTCATTCTCTCTAACAATCTAATTTCTTCTTTTTTTATGCCTATTTCAAAAATATGCCCCACTTAGAATCAGATATTATCGCCTTTCGCCACAATAACTTTTCGATCACTATTTTTTTGAGAAAATTGCATTTTAAATTATGAAACTGACAAAAATTTACACTTTAAACCTTTGAGCTCAACTAACACTTTAGACAATAAAATTTGCTTCAATAACATATTAAACATCGAAATTAACTTATTTGTTTCGTACGTTAAAATTGTGACCGCTAATGTTTATAAATAGGTCAAAACAGATGACGAGCATATTATTCCTTTTTAAAAATATTTTAGTAAAGAAAAATAAATACAATTAAATTCTGAAAATTGATACAAATTCAGGAAAATATTATTTTTATAAATTCAAAAAGCAATGAAACAAATAAATTATAAAAATCAATAAAAAAATTAGCAAACAATAAAAAAATTAAAAAACCTAGAAAACAAATAAAATTTAAAAATTTAAAGACTGATGACAAAAAAATAGTTTAGAAAAAAAAACATTTATAATAATTATAAATTTTAGTATTCAACAAAAAAATTTGAAATCCTACTATATCTCGTAATATCTTTTACACTGATATGATTAAATTTGTCACCATTACCGCTATATCGATCCAAGCTGAAAATTATGAAGTGTCTTGTTGGGCCCAAATCTCTAGGACATGAAAGATTCGAACCTATGACTCAGAGGTCCGAACGCTCAGGCTTACCTAAACACAAAGAGACTTCAGTTCAAGTACCTTCTCTTTTTCAATTTTAATTTTATTTTTCCTATTTTCTAATTTTATCAACTTTTTTACAATGTTCCTTTTTAATGTCTACTTTTTCTAATTTCCTGATTTTATGTTTTCGAATTGTTCTCAAATTTTAGAATTTATTTTGAATTTTTATCTATTTTATTTGTTTTAATTAATTAAAATATTAAAAAAATTGTCACATCACTTATTTACTTTAGTTTCGATGTTTAATATTTAATTAAAATACTAGTCACAATTTTAACATGTGTAATAAATAAGTTAGTTTCGATGTTTAATATTTTATTAAAATAAATTTCCTTGTTTGAAATATTAGCAATTGAGTTTCAAAATTTAATGTGTAAATTTTTGTTAATCTTATGATTTAAAATATAACTAGGTGTTTTGCCCGCACTTGCGGGCTTAAAAATTTTACTAATATCTATAAATAAATATATAATCAATTTAAGTAAATTGTAATAAATTATTGTGTATACACTCAAAACATTTAATAATAATCTAAACAGATTCTTTCTATATATAAAAGTTTTCATCATCATATAAATAATTATCATTGCACAAATTAAATGTGAAATTCTCATAAATTTAAAATATTTAGTTATAAATTAATATGTTTTCTAGACATAACAAAAAGAAGTATAATAAAATTAACTTTAGTAATGTTTTGGATAACACAATATAAATTATCTATACATATATTCTTTGCAAATTGATTTTTTCATAATTAAATATATATTAACAAAAATAATTATTTTTCAAGGTTAATAAAGACTTTATAACACAATATAAAAAATTAAGATAAGGATAATTATCAAATTCATGAAATTCGTTTTTAATTTAAAATTAATTATATATTAACAAATATAATTATTTTTCAAGGTTGATAAACATAATATAATTTTTTAAAATAAGGATAATTATCAAATAAATGAAATTCGTTTTTAATTTATAATTAATTATATATTAACAAATGTAATTATTTTTCAAGGTTAACAAAGACTTTATAACTTAATATAAAATAGGTTTAGATAAAGATAAATCTAAAATCAATTGAAATTCGTTTTTTTGTTTATGTTTAATTATATATTGAAATTTTTAATTATTCATTAATGGTATAAACAATATTAACCAGTCTAATTTTTAAAGTGAGAGCTCTGTTGCTAAAAATCACTTCGCAAATAATAGTATAGATTTTCCTCTACTTTTCAGGCGTTTTCACGACTAAGCGGATGAACTTTTGAACATGGATAAGAAGTATTGAATAAAAAAAAATAAGTATTGTATATTTTTTAAGAAAAATCTCCAAAAGTAAGTACAAAGGAGATACAATACTTCCATATTGTATTTGGGGAAAATAAACTAAAAGCACAGTTTTGATCGAAAAAAAAAACTAAAAGCACAAGAAAAAACAAAAAAAAGAGTTGACAAAAAGAAAAAGAAGAAGAAGAAAAAAAAGAAGACCACCAAACCCGTGGAGTTGTTGTGTTGCCATTTCATACCTTTGGCAGGAGGCCAAAGCCATAGCCAAAAAGCCTCTCCCAATCCTCAAACCCCTTTTGCTTTACGTTCTTCTCTCTTCCGAAATTCGATTTCCTTTACTCTCACGGAGTTCCCTCCCTGCTTCATCTTCAATCAATCATTCAATCTCTCTCCTTTGAAGATTCTTCTCTGTTTTCCCGATCTAGCCCCCATCGGGATCGGCTCAGTCTTCCTCAAACAACCCTATCAGTTGGTGTAAGATTTTTAATTTGGTTCTGTCCGATTCTAACTTCCGGAATCTAAAACTGTAGATTAGACAAGAAACAAGGGTTTGGTTTGGTTTTGATTCGCTTGTGTCTGATTTTAGCTTAATTTATGAGATTTTAATTAAAAGATTTCGTGTTTGGTGTTTAATTTGATGAATTTGGAAGCTTGTAAATGAAAAGTTTTCGTTTGTTTTGTGCTTTTAAAATCTTTATGTGTGGACTTTGATTGAGATTCTGCCTTTTGTTTATTCAGGTTTTGGTCATAACATATAGAGCTTTTTTTGGGACTTTAAAAAGATGGATGAAAACAATGGAGGTTCAACCTCACTACCACCATTCCTCACCAAAACATATGAAATGGTAAACGATTCCTCTTCTGACTCAATCATTTCATGGAGCGATCACAACAAAAGCTTCATCGTCAAGAACCCTGCCGAGTTCTCAAAAGACCTCCTCCCAAGATTCTTCAAACACAAGAACTTCTCCAGCTTCATCCGCCAGCTCAACACATATGTAAGTAAACCTCCTCTCTTTATATCACCCCTTTAATATTAACTTTTTAAAGATTTTTTAAAGATTTCAACTAAATTTTTTTCTTTTTACAAATTTAGTAGCCTAATATTTTTTGGAGGTTTATGTCTATGCAAAAAAATTTCAAAAAATGTTTCATTCCGGCTTTGTCCAGGACCGGCCCTTATAACTTTTTGTGTATAGGGTTTCAGGAAAGTGGATCCGGAGAAATGGGAGTTTGCAAATGAAGACTTTGTTAGAGGCCAACCATACCTAATGAAAAACATCCATAGACGAAAACCGGTTCACAGCCACTCGTTACAGAACCTACAAGCGCAGAGTCCTTTAACTGAATCAGAAAGACAGAGCATGAAGGATCAGATAGAGAGGTTGAAGAGGGAGAAAGAAGTCCTTCTCGCGGATTTACAGAACCAAGAGCTTGAACGTAAAGGTTTTGAGCTGCAAGTCACCACATTGAAAGACAGGTTACAACACGTGGAGCAGCGTCAGAGATCAATAGTGACATTCGTTTCACAGGTTTTGGAGAAGCCAGGACTTTCTCTAAACCTAGAAACAAACCACGAGAGAAAGAAAAGAAAGTTGCAGGAGACTTCTCTTGTTCCTGCAAGCAGGTCACACGCGGAGCAGGTGGAGAAGTTAGAGTCTTCTCTAACGTTCTTGGAGAATCTTGTGACGGAGGCATGTGATGATAAGAGCGGTGGTGGTGTGGATCTTGATGTGAATGAGTCAGTTAGCTGTGCGGAGAGTCTAAGTAATGGAGATGATAACAGAGCTAAGTCAACAAAGATTGATATGAACTCAGAGCCTGTTGTTACTGTTCCTCCGAAGACAGGGGTTAATGATGTGTTTTGGGAGCAGTGTTTGACGGAGAATCCGGGATCGATTGAACAGCAGGAAGTTCAGTCAGAGAGAAGAGATGTTGATGCAAATAAGATTGGAGATGGGAGGAGGTTTTGGTGGAATGCTAAGAATGTAAATGATATTGCAGAGAGAGCTTGATATGATATGAAGCTCTTTGTAAAATAGATTATTTTTATTACTACTTCCTCTGAGATCACTGTCTTGTGGTTCATTGTTTACTGTACGCTATTGTTTTGGGGGCAGAGTAATATAGATGCATATTGGCTCTGTTTGCCTTCACACCCTTACCTATAAAGCTTTGACTTCTTTTAGTATGAAGACCCAAAGAATCAAAGAGGGTAGAGAGAGAACAGTGAAAAAAAAAAAGCTCCGTTACCGGGTTGAACCCGGGTGAAAGCCAGATATCCTAACCGCTAGAAGATAAAGGAGCTGATGTTGACTTTTCTAGTACAAGATGCATATCTGGGTAAAAAAACCTGATCCGAAGAATCAAATCGAATGCGATCCAAAAAAGTAGTATCGAACTTGAATTGAAATTGATTCAATATCTGAATGAATTCAAAATTTTGGTATTTAAAGAATCGAACTCGACCCGAACGGAAATATTTCGAGTATCCGAATATATCCAAAAGAGATTTATATACCCCTATACTAGGTGATTTTCCCGTGCTCATGCACGGATATAAATATTTATAAAATAAATATATTATAAAATTGATTGATATTTACTTTAAATTTTACATTAATTTATAATTTGTAGATATAATTTCTATTAATAATATTATATTAATTTAATTATATATATATAATTTTAGATATATTATATTTTCTCAGTTTTATTTTTTCGGTTGATTTAGTTATCATATGGATATATAAGCTTCTATCTATTTCTCGGAATTCAATTATATTTTTTTATTCTAAATATATTAAAATTTTGATTAATTGTCTTATTTACATTTATGCCGGTTGTTATCTTAGAAATATAAATAAATCTAGTTAGATTATGTATAACTTAAGATTTTTTTGTGCTTAGAAAGAAAAAAAATAGAAACTAAACTGTGTGATTCTAAATTATATACATAAGTAAATAATAAAATTTTGGAAGCTTATGAACATATATCAACATTTACAATATTTAAATTGATTGGATGATAAACTTAAATTTATTTTAAATATTTTAAAAATAAGGATTCTGATTTGCTTAATTATTTTGATTAAGGTTACATTAAGTTCCACAAACATAAAAACATAAAATTAAAAATCAAAAGAGTTATCAAGAAAACATAAAATTTTAACTATTAAAATATAATATATCTACTTCGTTAAATTATATAGTGTTATGATATTTTAAAATATTTTTTAGTTATTTGATCAAAAATGTTTATTATTATTTTTTTTAGTTTTGTTATTAATATCTCTTAAAATATGCAGTAAAAATGTTATTATTTTGAGAAATTATATTATATAAGTAAACAGAATTTATATTTTTTCTATATTCAAATATATATACTAAAAATTAAAAAAAAAATATTTCAATAATACTAATTATAAAAAAAAATTGTCAATTAAACTTATATCAGTTTATGTTACTTAATTATTTTATGTAATCATCTAATAAAATAGATAGATATATACAAAAAATAATTACTTTGAAAGTATATATATTTATTCTTTAAATTATTTTTTTTTCTACTATCAAGATTAGTTGTGTATGCTTTTTTCATGGAATCACATTATATACAAATATTTTTTTCGTCTAAGAAGATATAGATATAAAGTATATTATTACTTCAAAAGTATATTTTATGTTATAACTATTTTCTGAACTTTCTTTTTTAAGAAACCATATTTATATATACTTATATTTTCGTTTTTAAATAGTTTTGTAAACTTTATAAATGTTTCCTTTTTATTTTATATTGTTATTTGGAATTTTTTTTAAAAAGAAATAATAATACTTAAAATGTATTTTTTAATTCATTAGAGGTATCATAGTAATCAACCAGCAGAAGGGTTAACGTGAGCGCGACACATAAAAAAGTGACTTCTCAGATAATATTATAAAAAATTTACCGCTTAAATAGACATGTATTTGCATAATATTTATAGGTTGATTTCTAAAAATATAGTTGAAAATAAAGTGTAACTGATAAATTTTTGAATGTTCATGAACATATATATTTTCATTATTTTGAAAATATATTTTAGGTTATTTAAAAATATATATTAATGGGGGTATTACTATTTTGTGAACTTTCCTTTTTAATAAACTCATATTATATACATATTTTTTCATTTTAAAATTTGTTTTAAAATTTTAGGAATATTTTCTTTTTATTATATATGTTATTTGGAAAAAGGTAAAAAGGAAACTAAATAAAAATTAATAATAATCTTAAAATCTAACAATTCATTAAGGGTATATATGTAATCAACCATCGTGAGAGTTAACGTAAGCGCGACACATAGGAAACTGACTTCTCAAATAATATTATAGAGATATTAATTATTTTTAGATTTAATGTATATAAGAAAACATTCATTATATATAATATATTTTTAAGTTGTTCAAAATATTGTAAATATATGTAAATAGTCAACATACATGTCTTTTTTTTTTTTTTTTTGAACACAGTCAAACATACATGTCTAAAATTGATAAAGTACTCTCAAAACATCAAAAATATTTTAAAAATTATTGATTGACAATCTAAATATTCAAAATCAAATTAATTTATAGGTTAATTTTAGGTATTTTGACTTATGATATTCAATTATTTGTTATATATTATTTTGTTTGTAGATTTATATAAATTTAAAGTATATATTCAATTTTAAAAATTTAAAAATAATTAAAATGAGTTATCCGACCCCGCAAAGATCCGAACTAAACCCGAACCGAAATTTAGAAATATCCAAATGATGTTAAAACTTGTGAACCTGACAACCCAAAACCCTAATAGATTCGAACCGAACCCGAATGGGTACTCGAACGTCCATCCCTATGCATATCTCCCATGTATAAACAAGTATAGATTATTGTGGACCTTTACTGAAAAGGTCAGTGAATCAATTGGATATCTTAGAAGCCTAAAAGCGGTTGATGTAAAAAAGAAATTTAAGTGGTAAATAAAGGAAATTTCTTAAATATAGCAAAGATTTAATGTTAATTAAGTAAAGTGCATTTTTCTGTAAAGTGCAATATGCTAATTTTTTATTTGCAAATGACAAAAATACTGCAAAAGTTTGTGGGTTATATTTTAGATAGGGTTATTCTCTTATTCTAAAAATCGGTCGTTTAGCTGTCTAGGTGCTAGGTGACCTTCTTCCGCTCCAATTTATGCCAAGTCGGTGTAAAAAAATCGATCATCCGAATTTAGTCTAGATGTTTATATGACCGTCTAGGCGTCTAATCTATTTTTAATGATAAATTTATCTATTTATTTGATCTAATATTTAACAAATATTATTTATAATCATAATTTTGATGAAAATTACACCATATTAAGTTTATATATTCTATTTATGTGTTTTATAAGGTTCTAAACATGAAAATATATTAATGTTACACATAATTAAAGATGAATATATTTTATAACATATCAAATAATTTAAACATTTCCTGTATAATCCTTGATTTTTTCTCTAGGCGCTAGATCTAACCATGCCGTCCGACTAGCGTCTACTGCATTCCCAAACCGGGGTTATTCAAGTGTTAACAAAAAAAAAAAGAAGGTTCATATATATGGATATAACAAATTTTAGCAAGTTAAAACCAACAGTGACAAAATAAGAAGTTAAAACCAAAATTTAGAATGCTTATTTGACGAAAATTAAAGCTGTTAAATTTTTGGACATTTGTACAAGAAAAATTTTACAAATCATATGACCATGTAAATCACTATTATGAATGGTAACCAAGGAATGACGAGGAATAATCTATTCCCTAACATTCTTAAAAAATATCACCATTCGTAAGAAATAATTTTTCCTTCTTGTTTCTTTTTTTTTGTATAGAAATATAAAATAAAATTATTCCCTCTTAAAATTGATAAAGAACAATTATTCTTTTTTGTTCGTGCAAATTTATTCATATCCATTCATTCTTTTCATTCTTGTCGTTCCTATAGTGGTTACCAGTCATACATATAAATTCGTTTTCTTTTTAATCATCATTTTTTCTATTGCCACTTAAATTATACCCGAAAACAGTAATTTTAACTCGGATCTATTTTTAGAGGAAAATATATCGAAGGCAAATTTTTTTTTTTCTAAATATGCCTATGATCAAAAAGAAGATAAAGAAGAACGAAGTTGAAAAAAAAAAAAAGTTGACAAAAAAAAGGAACGAACAACGAACTATTTAATACTTGGTGAATATAAAACAGCCTATCTATAATCTAGACGGAGATCTCACAGGTAAACATTTCCCACACGAGACAAACTTCCACAACGAATGTAATCGCACTCTTCTCGTCCTCACCTTCAGTCTCCATAGCTACATTTCAAAAGTTTCAGTTAAAAATATAATTAACCAAAAAAGATCCAATCATTTTTCCTAAAGATGAAACTTTCGTGTTGAAAATGAAGGTTTTTTGCATTTGTTTACCTTGCGACGTACGCTTCTCATCGCTTTCCAACATACCAAACTTCTTGACCTAGATTCAAGCCTCCTGTTAATAAAAAATAAACGCATTAACCACCCAAAGAAACGTTACAAAACCAATACGAAAGAACAAGTTTCCGGTTAATATTCTTACAGATTCTCATGTTCAAGCTTCTCCGCAATCAACAAAGCTTTGCGTTTCGACCAACTGTTTCCTTCACCTTGCTTAATCACTTGACTCAACGAGACTTTTCCTCTCACAATGCTCTGGTTCTTGTTTTCCTTCGCCTCCCGCGTCACTGCACATTCACATCCATCCTCCAGTTCCATGATTTCGCTTCTTCTCGGATCTTTCTTTGACTCGATTCTGATCTCTAACGTGACCGGAGCTCCAAGAACCGCCTCAAACGCTCTCAAAATATGATCTCTAAAATTCTCAGCCGTTAATCTCGTTACTGGCGAATTGAACATTAACTGCACCGTAGGAGCTACACCACACAATAAAAAAATTAGTACCTAATCATCAACATAAACAGTTTTTGAATTGATCTTACCTGAACCGATACTAATAGAAAATATCTTCCCTTCCTTATAAAGAAACTCTTTTAAACTGCTAACACGAACGTTCTCTACAACCGCTACCCAAATATCTTCAACCGAAGGTCGGTTTATGATACTGAAACTTTCTCCACTATGACCTCTAACGTCGTTACAAGGACTAGGATCCATTAACGGACTACGGTTGAAGCTAGAATCAGCAGAAGAACCAGGAGGAGGAAGCAAGTATCGTTGGTCAGGAGCTAGCTGGAGCAACGCAGCAGTTAGCCAAGTTAGTTTATCGTTTGATACTCTCAACTGTTTCTCTGATTCAGATAACGTTTTCAAAGCTTGTCTCAGTTTCTCCATATCTTCTTTACACACTACAATTAAAACAACAAACGTTAGTTATTACCATTACAACCGGCCGCCTTAAGACCATGATTAACCTGGTGTTCTAAGGGTGGGGCTTTTAACGTAAGTTAAGAATTTTTTTTTTAATTTTCGCTAAGAACCCTATCTATGAACTCCGAGATAATCATGGTTTTAAAACAATTACAGACTGACTACTAAATAATCAAATATATATAATTTTTGGGGGCCTAAGACGAATGTTAGGTTTAGCTATATGCCTAGAACCAGCCCTGGTTACAAATATTTTTTTCAACTAATATGAGAAAATGTTTGAAACTTACATGGTTGTGGCTGGAAAAACTTTCTTTTATGTTGATCTTTAGCAAAATCATAGCTTCCGGCGAGGATATCGGTTATGACGGTTGCGAGCTGCGACATTAAAGCTAACGGTTCTACTCCAGTTTCCATTACCATTCTCAGATTCTTCACGGTGTTCACAGTATCCGCAGATAAAGCAAAATCAAGAAGATCAACTAACTTCTCATCAGAAACTAACCCAACCTACGAAACAAGAAACATGTCAACAAAAGTTATTCTAAACATTACCAGCAAACTAAACTAGTTTCATACCATTTCTTGAACTAAAGGAACAGAGATTCTTGTTCCAAGCAAACTCAATTGTTCTAGAGTCATCTCAGCGTCTCTCAAGGAACCATCTGATCTCGAAGCAACAAGCTTCAACGCATCTTTATCGATATCAATCTCTTCCTTTGACACAATCCTTTGCAATGAACCGATGATATCCGCATCTTTGAGCTTAGGGAAAAAGAACTTCTGGCACCTCGAAACAACAATGTGAGGCAGAGAGTCAAGACTCGAGCAGACAAGAACGAAAACAACACGACTTGGTGCTCGGTCCACGACTTTCGAAAGCGAATTCCAACAAGCTGTTGACATAGTATCACAATCATCGAATATGAACACAAGGTGATGATGATGATGCCTTTCCTGCTTAGAGATGTTCAGATTCTCGAAGTCAAAACTTTTTACAGGACCCATCTCACGAATGTTCCTGTTCTTACCATTATCATAAGAAACACATGAGCTGCAGACACCACAAGGCTTTGACTGTTCTGTAGAATGACAGTTCAAAGCTCTAGCGAAAACGCGTGCACACGATGTTTTCCCGGTCCCATTCGGACCGTGGAAGACATAAAGAAGCCCCACTCTCCGTTTAGCAACAGCGTTGGACAGAGCCTGTACGACCAGGCTCTGTCCAACGACATCCCGGAACGTTCTTGGAGCATATTTCTGCGTAAAGCTTTGATGCCGCCGAGCATTTCTGCTGCTGTGTTTCTCACCATTCTTGAGTAAATCGTCAGCGAAAACACCCAACTCTCCGGAGTAATCATGCTCCCAGTCTTCATTGTCTGCACTATGTAACGCCTCGTGATCAAGTTTGGTGAAAGATGAGCTTGAAGCTGAAGACATTGGCATATCGGTTAAGCCTTTCCTTCCTTTTGAATCAGACATTCCACAAGATAAACTCCTACCAGCTATATCAAGGAAAGTTCTGCCTCTATGATGGATTCTTGACCAATTAAACGGAAGTCCACAACCGTTTCTTGGAACAGCTCTGGTCATGCCTTGTCTTCCTTCTTCTTCCTCATACTTCTCACCGACATTGTCTCTAACGGTAACCTCCCTTCTGGCTCTCCTGTCTCCTCTAAACTTCCGTCTTCTACGCCCTCGAACGTTACTAGAAACCACATCATCACTATCACCACCTAAAACCTCGTTTAACTGATCAGACAGAGTCTTGACATTAGCCTTATCTCTTGATGTAACAGAAGCAACGCTATAAACCTCAGTTGCGTAACTCTTCTCACTCAACGCATCACATCTTTCATCAGAAGGAGTCACTTTAGAAGTACCAAAGTTCAAAACTGGAGATGAACTAGACAACTTAAGACCAGATTTCTTAACTACATCCTGATCAACGGATCTTCTTTTTCTTCTGCTTCTTCCTTCCTTATGAACCATCACAGAAGGAGAGTTCGCTGATGGGTCTCTGAGAGATCTTGATCTCTGAAGAAGGACGAGATCTCTCATAAGAAGAGACCGGTCTGTTGAAACCGGACCTTGTTTGTTGTTGTGCATATGGTTCTTCAAGTGAATAGAGTTGGTTAAGTGAATATGGTTACGAAGATGCTCACTTATGTCTCTGTTTTCATCGTTCAGAATCTGAGAAGAAGTTACCCTGGTGCTCTTCATTGTTATGTTTTCTTCAACAGGAGAAGCTGGTCTAAGTAGCTGTACAAGAACCAAATCGAGCTGTATCTCATTTTCCAAATTTGAAAAAAATAGAATTTACCGAGTTTGGTAAATGATATCCCCAAGATTGACTGAACTTACCAAAACAAAACAAGTGAAGAATCAATTGCAAAGATGTGTAAACTTTTATGTTTTTTGGTACCAAAACAAAAAGTGGGGATAGTAGAACGACACCGTTTTGAAAAGTCACAGATGTCTATCTACTTTCACATGAAGAAGCTGAGAGAGGTTTCTCTGGAGAAAGCGATGGTTTTTGGCAGTTAAAGAAAGCAAGAAAAACGCTGTTGGAGAGAGAGAGGCTGTGATAGGTGTTTTTGAAAGTTTTAGAGGGAAAGAGTGGGAATCTTGAGAGAGAAAAATGAAGTTGGGTTTTGAGATCTGTTTACAGACACGAACACAGAGGCAAGTTTGAGAGGAAGCAGAGCACATTGACAATAAAGCGGTTTGTCCGTTTCCGGGAAGAGAACCATATAATATAACAGACAAAGAAACAATAAAGAATGACAAATAAGTAAAACTATTCATTTGAAACGGAGACCAAAGTGGTCTGACCTTTGAGTATTGCTATACTTTTTGTAATTCGTTCAAAATAGAGTTAGCAAGAAAATGATACTAGTAAGCTTTATGTTAGCCTTTTTAGTCAGTTTTATGGAATCTCTTTCCATTTATGTTTTAATTAAACCAATGTTCTAAACGCACAGTTTATTCGGCGGATAGTCCCCACGGCAGAGCTACAGTCATTTTGTGTGACATTTTTTTTTTTGTTATAAGCTTATAAGTCAAATGGTAGATACAAAATTAGGTATAACTGAGTAGAAAAAACAGCAAGAATGTATAAGCAGATCAGTGAATAAGATATTCTCAAATTAGTTTGATTATTTAATTGATGAACGACTTAAAGCTAAAAAAACAGTTAAAGTTTCTCAAAATCATGGTAACAAGAATTTTCTAAGAGAAGAGAATAATTAACCAAATGTAAAATACTATACAAGAAAGTAACAAAAAGTAAGTATTATTAAACTCTGGACGATAATAGTTATGGTACGATGGTCAATGACGCCAATGTCACGTGAGTCGTGAGCACATTTAGTGATGATTATGTTTTTAAAGTTGGGGATTTAAATTTTGTTAATCCAAAAATGCATAATTTTTCATTTAGATAATCAAAATTTCAGTAAACCACAAAACCTAAAATCATAAAAGTGATGATTAAATAATTTAAAAAGTAACAAAAACATATATCAAGTAATTGCAATCCAATCATGTCGTTGAAACATCTAAGGCTAGGATCAATCTGGGCTTTGACAGTAACAAATAAGGGACTACTCAATTAAACATCAATTATTGACTACATTAATTAACCACCAATAGTTAATTATGCATACTGACATAGTAACATGCATTGTAAAATATCCAATGTGTAAAAATAAAAACTTGATCATACAACTATAATTTATAAATATTGTGATTGGCTAGTTACTAGCTCAAAATCCAAAGAAGAAAAAGACAGGATCACTTTGGGAGATGAAAACCATTTCTGACACAAAATGTTCTATAGAGTTTTGTGATTTTCGAGATTTTTTAAAAATAGAAAGAGGTGGAGGGAATCTTTTTGTATCAAACCTAGCTAGTGTCACAGAAGTACATTCAAATAATCCAAAACCGTAATTTATTTTGAATTTCCTCTATATTTTTCTATTCGTCAACTTTTTGAAACTTCAAATCTCTGTTATTTAAACTCACAGTTGATCAACTATATGCAAAAGTGATTATAAGTTGTCTCAACAGCAATGTCAATAGATCATTTTGACCCAAAAAGGTTCAGAATAAATCCTGCCTTTATATAGTAAAACTGTTTTATCTTTTCTATTAATATCTTTGCTAAAAGTAAAGAATATGAGAGACTTGCGTCAGATTATATCTAGTCTTCTGTGTCAACGATCTTAGAAGTTACTGTCCCCCCTGCTCCCGGATCAGATTCGTGGGCTCACTTAGAACATACGTAGGAAGCTCATATCTAGCACCTGCATATATAAATCGAATAAATAAAGAAGCGAGTAAGGTAAGACAAACAAGAAACACAAATAATAAGAATCAGCTGGTTAATGTTTTTTTTTTGCAAACCTCTTTCATCCCAACACAATGTTAGATCAGGGTTTTGAACAATGATGCCTGCACTGTCAATAATTGTCTGCGCTAGTGTCAGTTCAGCTTCAGCAGCAGCTCGAAGTGCATCCCAAATCTCTGGTTATCAGTAATAATTTAACTCAGTTTCTAAAAAATGCTCATAAATGCAATCAAATGAAGACTATAATTAAGAAACATATAAACCTCTTTGACCACCATAGTGTGGAGAAGTGTCCCAAAACTCCTCACGCATGTTCATAAGCTGTGCCCTTGTGATTGGCTCGGTATGTGCCCACGGTTCAGGTTTCTTGATTTTCTCTCGTCTTGCTATCAAAACATACAAAAGTCACTCAAGAGAATGAACACAATAATATAAACTAACTTCCAAGTCTAAAAAGTTATCCTCAGTAGCATCAGAAGATCATCACTCTTTCGATTTAAACGAGACCACTCGTTTGCTAACAACTTCGTCTGATCATACGCATACAGTAAAAGTGAACGTTCAAGAACACTGTTCAAGATTTTGAAATCTTTACTAAATTAAACACCATGCAATCTTTCCAAGAATCCACAAGAAGAGACACACGAATATATATCTCACCAAGTGATGCCTAAACTACACGAAAGAGCCAGAAAATCAGAACGAACAAGAGATAAGATCGAAGAGAGGTTATAAGAAAATACCTTCGGCTTCGTTTCTGGCCTGAGTAGATTCTATGCAGCCCATTCTCGAACCGTTTGGTAGGGTAAACTGAAAATTGCTTCCAGCGAGTAAGCAACAAACTCTACCGCCGCTGTTAGATCGGAGAAGACTGATAGTCAATAACAGTATCACGGCGGGAGAAGAGTCGGAGAGGACGCCAAGAGTCAAGAGTCGCGCCTACTCTGTTTAGCCGTGTCCACTATCCAGTTTATATAGTTACTTTTTTTACTTGCCAGCTAGTTACTTAAAATAATAATAGATTTATATATCTGATTATTTTAACGCGCGCGTTTGTAAAACAGTTTTTCCCGGTAGTCTCATTCTTTATATTCATTGTGTAGTTTTTTAAACAAAAGCGTCTGTAGTCCAACGGTTAGGATAATTGCCTTCCAAGCAATAGACCCGGGTTCGACTCCCGGCAGACGCAAAATTATTTTCTTTTTTATACATCTCAAAATTCATAAAATACGAAATGACGATAATAGTCCCACGAAGCAACTAAGCTGAACATCCGAACGCAAGGGTGTTCTTGTCAAGTTTTGGTTTGGTTCAGTTAGCTTTTGTCCACAGCACAACATAGAGCATTTAGAACTGAAACTTAGCATTCGCCGGCGAAAACTATCACACAGTTATGTCAATGTCGGAACCAAGGAAGCTGAGAGGCCACAAAGCGACTGCCACGTGTTGTATCTCTTCCCGTGACCGTCCGGGACTTGTTGTCACTTCCGGCGAGGTCTCTAAACTCTCTAATTAAAACCTCTTTTTTTCTTGATTCGATTGAATCTAGAGTTTAGTTATTATTAATTACACTTTCGCTTTGATTACAGGATGGTTGCGTTTGCTGGTTTGATTTGCGATGTAAAGATGTCCAATTCACCATTGATGTTGGGACAGAACCTGTTTCATCTCTTTGTTTCAAGACAGGTTTTGTCTCTCTTTTGTTTTTGTTTTTTTAATTTTATCTCAATTTCATCTCTTTGTTTTGATTGTGGATTATTTTATAAATTAGGTAACGAGAACATTCTCTATGCTTCTCATGGAAATGAAATCAAGTCTTTTGATGTTCATATGGTAAAACAAAAAAAATCCAAACTTTAAATAAAACTATAAACATAATTTTTACTTTGGTTTAAATCTTCTTTCTTTCTGCATTTTGATAGCTAAGTGCTGGTTCCTGGAAGTCATTAGAGAGTTATAGTTACAACAAAGATGAAGTAAACCAGGTAGAGAAACTTAAAAAACATTACTTTCTGAAAGTTAATCAGATTTCTATATTTTGGATTTCTTGTTTCTTTTTTAAGGTTGTATGCAATGGAAAATCATCTTTTCTTGCTTCTGCAGATGATTCTGGTGATGTCAAGGTACCTTAGTGGCTGTTTTTGATACTTAAAAGCTTACATAATTATTGCAATTTTCTCGGTTTGATTAGTTTGCTTTGCTTGAACACAGATTATCGACATTGGTCAGAAGTGTCTTTATAAAACCCTTAGAGCTGGTCACACAAGCGTATCCTTTTAACCGTTGTTTCTTTTTTCCTCGCTTCTGTGAAAAAGAAAACTCAAAGTCAGACCTTGATGTTTATAACATTAAAGATATGCAGTTCTGTGCAGTTCATTCCATGGAGACCTTGGGAAGGTAATGAACTATTTGTTACTTATGTTATATTATATATCTTTTCAAGGTCTGTTAAGTGTCTACTTTTCTTACAGTTATTACTGGTGGACTTGATTCAAAGCTTGTTTTGTGGGATTTCTCAAAAGGTCGCTCGCAAAAGATTATAGACTTCAGTAAGACGCTGATTCAAGTTCTTAAAGCATAGATATAAATGCTATTAAACCTGATTCATGGATTATTTGTTGTAATCTTTCAGGCTCTGATACTCATAGTAACTCAGGACAATGTTTGAACCCTGCGTTTGTTCACTCGATAGCAGTTCCGGAAATGGACATGGTTGATAAGTTGGACAAGATATGCGCTGTTGCTAGAGGTGATGGGATTGTGGATTTGATCAATATCGAATCTGAGCTTTCGCGAAAAGGAACATCGAAAGGAAGCAGCAGCAGTAGTAGCAACAATAACAATGTGGTGAAAAGGGTTCGTTTAGATTACTCTGTTGGTGGACACAAAGCTGCTGTTTCTTGTGTAGCGTTTTCTCAGTTTCAGGAAAAGGGTAGATTCTTGATCTCAGGTGGTAATGATAAGACTGTTAAAATTTGGGATTGCGTTAGGTGTCTTGATTCAGACAGCAACAACAATAATAACAGAGAGTTTCTCCATTTGAATATTGACCTGAACAAGAAGGTAATTGAAAGGTCTCATTGCTCTTTAGCTTTTTACCTCTTCTTATTCTTGCATCTTAACTAGCTTTTGTTCATTGTTTAAACAGGTGAATTGGCTATGCAGTAATCAGTCTGATTCTGAGAATCTTGTGGTCTGTGATACAACAAGAGTAGTTAAGGTTTACTCAATCTCTTGAGTCTTGACTTTAGAGTGCATTTACTCTTTATCTTATTGTTCCACCTGGTTACTAGGCTTTATGGACCTATGAATAGACTCATGTTATTGCACATTGTTTATTAGTAGACTCTTTTTTCAAGTGGTTGCTTGATCCACAAGTTAGTTATTTGTTACTTAGCCGATAAATTTTTGCTGTAGTATCAGTATATAAGCGTCACAAGACCTCTTCAAACGCATAAATCTTTCTTTCTACTTTCATTTTCTAACATTCATAAAGTTATCACTTCTCTCTCACAATGAAACAACCTCACTCGCAACCGCAACCGCGATTTCACCTCTTCATCCTCCTCCTAATAGCCATCATAGCCACCGTCTCTTCCTCTTCTTCTCCACTAGACCCAAAGCAGCTCAAAGCTCTCAAAATCCTCACAGTAACCAAAGATCCTTGCAACAACAACCACTCCTCAACCACCATAACTTGCGACGATGCTAACCCTTTCCGCCACATAACCTCTCTCTCCTTCAAAAACTCATCCTCCCTCCCCTCAAAAACCCTAAAACCTCTCTCCAAAACCCTCCTCTCCCTCTCCTTCCTCAACTGCCCTTCTCTCTCCCCTCCAAAGCACCTCCCAACCTCCCTCCACACCTTCTCCTCCCTCTCCTCCTTCCACCGTCACCCCCTCTCAGGCGTCTACCTCGCCCGTCTCATCAACCTCACAACCCTCACCATCTCCTCAACCCCAATCAAAGCCTCCGGTCTCTACGTCATCCTCGGAAACATGCCTAACATCACAACCCTCACACTCTCATCCTCAAACCTCCCCGGAAAAATCCCCAAAACGTTTCACTCAAACCTCACTCACATCGACCTATCAAACAACCTACTCAGAGGCTCCCTAAGACGCTCCATCACACTCCTCACAAACCTCGAGTCCTTGAACTTATCTCGCAACTCACTCTCCGGGGAGATACCGAACAGCATCGGAGACTTAACTCTGCTGAAAAACTTGTCACTAGCTTCCAACAGATTCTCAGGACTAATACCAAACTCGGTCTCCTATCTTTCTCAGCTGACGCATTTGGATCTAAGCGGGAATAAGTTAAACGGCGTCGTTCCGAGATTCTTTTCCGGGATGGAGAGTCTCAAACACTTGAACCTCGCTGATAACTCCTTCCGTGGAGTTTTACCGTACAACGAAAGCTTCATCAAGAAACTAGAGTTTTTCCAAGTTAGAGGGAACAGTGGTCTCTGTTATAACAATACTGTTGTTTCTTGGAAACTGAATCTTGGTATTGCTCCGTGTGATAAGTACGGTTTGCCGTTATCACCATCTCCGCCGCGGAAGGAGGAGGACTCCACGTCGGAGGAGGAGGAAGATGATTACGACGAGGATGGGGATAAGAAAGAAGAGGAAGATGGGTCTGATAACAAGATTGTGCTTGGTGTAGCCATTGGTCTTTCTTGGCTTGTGTTCTTGATCGTTTTCCTCATCCTTCTTGCTAAATGGAGTGTTGTTTCGAAATAAGCCAGACCGTTGGGGTTTAAATCCGGTACAGGTCCGGTTTAGGATTCTTTTTTTTTTTTTTGTTGCTTTTGTAATTGTTTTGCATTTGAGTGTGTGAGAGAGAGTAAATGAATGGGAAAGTTATGATTATGTTCTTCTCTCATTTTCTCCAAATTTTGTTATTGTGAATTGTGATTTTGTGGGTTTATAAGGCTTCATTCATGATGACTGTCTGAAATGTATATTTTGGGTCGTTTAAGTAAGTTATTAATGTTTGTATTTAAACATTATTCTCGTACATAAATTTATAGAAATTATTTATACTAACTATTTGAAGTTATTTGGGCATTATCGCCAAAAGTAAGGGAGAGTATAAAAAACTCTACAGTACAGAAAATCTCAAATAAATAAACTATATTAATATTTTACTTTCTCTAATAAATCCATATGATTTTTGTTACAGCTTCTGTTTTTAATGACCTTTGCCAAAATATTGACTGGCCAAGAAATGAATGGACCACAGAAGGAAAACATCAATGTGAAAATTCAATTAATTATTGTTATTGACATCATTTGTTTATGAGTTTTTCTATAAACATGATTCCATAAAATGATTGAAACTTTGTATAGATTACTACTTATTACCATTGCCAAATAATGGACTGCAAATAAATGATTAGGGAATACAACAATAATTGTAAAAATGAAGTGAATTGAGTAAATGAACAAAAGTGGCTATAATTCTCCCAATGTTTGCCTTCGAAGCAATGACACTAATCATGACGAGCTTGCTAAAGACTTCACAAGTTGCTCCCTTATCCTGTCAAATTATATAAGATACACGTATTCTTTTTTTTTTTTTCCTTTTGAGAATTTATATAAGATACATGTATTCAACTATCGAATTTTCAACTTTTAATCCACCAAAACTGTGAGAACCAATTCTCAAATCTCAGTGTAACAGTAGCTTCTTACTGTGGAGACAGAGCAAAGAAGTCAAAGGAGATGAGTTTGATTGATTGTAATGAAAACAAATGAATCCAAGAAAATTTAGATGCTACCATACTCAATGTCAAAAAAGGTTTTAATACTACAACAAGAAATTCTTTTTTAACATCCAGAAAATTGGTAAAAGATAAAACTTGAAACAAAGCTAAAAATCAACACAAATCTAGAAAGATTTTGTTTGTTCAGCCGGTGATGTTCTGAGACTTGTTGAGGATAACACCTTCATACTTGACTTGGAACCATTTCATTGCATCATCCTTAGTCACTCTGTGTTGGATACCTACACGAGCCTTGCATCTACGGCGACGTGCCACACGATATCCTGGACGTTCAAGAACAACATAGAAATCCATTCCGTAGATACCAGTAGATGGATCATACCTAAATGCACAAAGTGAAAACAAATGAAAAATCACAAAAACAATTTATTAAAAAGAATTCAAAAACAAATATTACACATAAAAAAAAACAAAGTCAAGACCATCATTTCCAAACCCAAAAATTAAAAAAACTTAAAAGTAGTCATATATTATCAAAACCCTGACATATCGAAACCAAACCAAAGCTAAATAAGTTTTGACTACACTGAATATAAGTGGAAGCTAGTCATTAGATGTAATTAACCAAAAAAAAAGAAAAAAGACTTACTTGATACCAAGATCAATGTGCTCTTGGATACCGAATCCAAAGCAACCAGTGTCACTAAAGTTCCTCCTAAGAAGCTCATACTCCTTAACTTTCAAGCCACTTTCAAGAAGCTGCATTGCCTTGTCACCTCTAACAGTGACGTAGCACGCAATCTTTTCGTTACGCCTAATACCAAAAGACCTCACAGTGTACCTCGCTGTAATATCATAGTTATAAGACATGTCTTAACCAAATTAAAAATAAAATAATCTAAAATCTTCATACCCTTTGAGAAAACAGGGGTTTGCCCACTGAGCTGTTCCAAAACCTAATAATGACAAAACACAACGATTCAGACACACACACACACATGTTTCAAGTTTCCTAAAAAAACATGTCTTTAGACACATTACTACAGTTCGTAAAGACACGACTGGTTACCATTTGATCTAGAGTAAATGAGCGGCTGACAAAAAAAAAAAAAAAAAACTACAGTTCGTAAAGTAACGATTTTTATTTCAATTTTCTTATAAAGAAGAGACCTTTGAGGCACGGGTAAGACGATCACCACTTTCACCAACGGAGATGTTGAGAACGAGCTTCTGGACTTTAATGTCCCTCATGGGGTTCGAGAGTTTCTTCTCTGACGCCTACATTCATAGAGAACCAAAATAACATCACTGGAACGATTCCAGGGGTCAAATCGATAAAAGAGAGGAGAGTTACCATTTTTCAAGGAGCTAAAAGAGAGTTGCGGAGACAAAACTGCGTCGAGTGGGGGGAGAGAAATGAGTTTTATGTGAAAGAACTAGGGTTTCTCGAACTATAATGGGCTTAAGTGTACAAAGCCCATGGGCCATAGACATGACGTAATCTTATACTGACGGACAGTATAAGCCCATGGGCCCGAGTGTCCACCATCTATAGGGTTAGCTAGTTCTTAGCTATTTAAATTCAGAAGAAAGGGTACCTAACATCAACGAAACTTGGGGAATTTCTGCTTTCTCAACCACCTCACTCGCACCCTTGTCACTCACTAGGACGTCTTCATGTTCTGCACAAACTCGGTAGTGCTTCGGTTGGAACCTGATAATTAACAATAATCATCATATACTGAATATTTTTATCATTTGCTAAAAAGATACTCCCTCCGTTTCAAATTAATTGTCATTCTAGAGGAAAATTTTCGTTTTAAAATAAGTGTCGTTTTATAGTTTCGAGACAAAATTTATTAGTTTTATATGATATTCTATTTTTCTATTGGTTGAAAAGTGGTTAGGTGTATAGGTAATTGTGTTTTTTTCTTGAAAATATGTAAAATTAAATGTTCCCTTAATCTGTGTGAAAAAACTTAGAAGGACAATTAAAATTAAACGGAGGGAGTACATTTTATCGGCATTGATATCTTGTTTTATGTAATACTAAGTCTTTTTTTTTTACTTGTTATCGTTTGTTAATCTCTTGCACTCATGATACTGCTCTTTACCACTCTAGAATTAGAATTTAACTTGTTTGGAATTAACAAGTTTGAAACTTAAGCTTTGTAGTTTAGCTTAGGTATTTTCTTGAATTCTTATTGTTTTTTTCTTGCAAATTCTTCTTTTGTGATAACCGTAACTAGCTGTACCTTATGCTTGTGATTAATTAGATAACCAAATATTTTATTGCATCATTGAAGAGACACAAGCCAAATGATAAAAAAAAAAATTTATTGAGGTAAAATAAGAAGCAATTAGGTACAAAATAACTTCTGAGTGTCTTTAATTACAAAATTTTATCTCATATTTCAACATTGCAAGCTTCTTATGTATTATTTACTTGTAGAATTTAGGAAAACTTAATTATTAAGGTTTACAAGTCCAATGGCAGGAACATGTTCTTGGACTCTTACAATTGCATTTAAGTCCTTGTATCTTAGCCATGCGTGGATACTTTTTTATTTCGGCAAGACATGCAGAGGAATTGCAATTCAGAAGTTCTTTCTGGGCCTGACAAGCATTTGCACTAACATCTAGTATATCAAAATTTTGTTGCAATCAGTAAATTATATGTATGTTAACCCAAACAGCAGAACCCTTTCTTTTTATCTTATTCCCATCAAACTCTAAAAGCAGATAAATTTATATTACCTTGAACATTGCTGAGGATGAGTACTATGAAAACACAAGAAACCATGAAAATAATACTAGACCTCATAATTCAGTATAGATTATATTTTTTTATCACTTGCACAAATTCAGAGTTTGTCTTATTGAAATAATAAATAGGGGCTGCTAATTATTGTTGTTGACCCGCTTGATAAATATATGCAACAAATCTAAATATAGCTTCTTCTTTTTCTGAACAAATTCTGAATATAGCTATATGTACAAACAAGAATAGAAAAGGAAAAGAGTAGGACTAATTCAATGAAATTGAACACTCTTTTTGAAAAATAAAACATTTTCTTGTTTTTAATTTTCTTTACTATTTAAGGAAAACTAATATTATAGTTGAATAATTCCACACAAATTTATATGAAAATATAGAATTAATCAAAATACTATGTGGCTCATGTAACATCTACTAAAACTGGAAGACTGATATAGAATAGTTAAATAATAAGTATCTGGTAATTGCTTTTTAGCATGCATGATAAATAAATATCAATGTTCGAAATTGCTTTAGCTTAACGCGTGCGGTCGACCAAGGTGTAGCACCTAATCAATTAACCGAAGATCATGAAAAAAATTAATTTGGAATCATACTTATATTTAGGAATATATAGTTTTACTTTTGATATAATTTCAAAATAGGTCACTTTTGCGCTTTAATTAAACAACTAAATTCAGACCCGCCTTCTCAGAGAGCGATATACTTTTCCTTTTATATATTTTTTAGATATTTAATTTTTATATTTGTATTTTTCTTTGTAACTATATTTGTATTAGTATTTCGAAGGATTTGTGCTTTTCTTTGTAATCATAATTATGTAATTTTTTTTCAAAAATCACTACTAAGAAAATTTTGATAATTGTATTAAATTAGAGATGTTGCATAACTATACACTTGTGTCATAGTTATTTCACATATTATTTTATATTTTAATCGTAAATAGATATTAATTTTTAAATAACAGAATATAGTTACAGTTTTGTTGATTAATCAAATAGTTATTAAATTGATAAAATTATATGTTTTTAATTAAAGTTTCATGATTTGATTTCATATATAATCAAAATATCCTTATAATTACACATAATAGTACTTCAATCAAAAAATATTACACATTATAATATGTCATGGATTTTAAAAATGGATATTGTAAATCAAGGACTATGGCCCAATCAATACCATTAAAATAGAAACATTCTCTTTAATGAATGATTTACTTTTTTCAAATTTATCCTTAATCTTATGAACAAATTAATTTTTAAATAATGGTAATTTTGTCTGTTCTTTTGGGTCTAAAAACTATATACTAATAGATTTCATTAATGGGCTCCTCACTTTTTAATTATTTCTGAAATTTTCTTTAAAAATAAACACATCAACCTTAATTGGCGTAGTTAGAGCTGTGAATTTTGATATTAGTCCGTGAGTCTTGCCCCGTTTGACCCGCCACGGAATAGGTCG